CAGGCACGTGCCACCATGCCCAGCTAATTTTTTGTATTTTTAGTAGAGACGGGGTTTCACCATGTTGACCAGGATGGTCTCGATCTCTTGACCTCACGATCCACCCGCCTCGGCCTCCCAAAGTGCTGGGATTACAGGCGTAGCACCTGCATTTTTTAAAGCCAGCATTACTTAAGAATGTCCTTGTTAAAGAAATAAAATAGTTAATTTTATTAAACCATGACTCTCGATTAAACCTCTTTTTAATATACTATGTAAAGGGAAATATATAGAGCATTTCTATTTTATACTGAAGTAAGATGTTTTTCTCTAGGAAAGCAATTGAATTGCAAGCTAAATTAGCCCCTTTTTTCCTATAGAATATCATTTTTACTTGAAAGAACAACTGACAAACTGGTTATTCAGAAGTGGGTATTTGGCAGACATTTTGATAATGAACAAAAAGCCTGTCTTTTCAAGCAAGTGATTGTCAGTATTTATTGCCCCTGATAAAAATCAGGCTTGCAAGTGAAAATTAGATTTTAGAAAACTTTTATCTGCCGTCATGAGCTTCACGGTTGCTCAGTATTTAATGGTTTTTCCAATGAGATTTTATGGTGATATTAATGATGTGCTTTTTAAAATACTGTTTTAATAGTGTCAACAAGTGAAAATCTATATAACTTGAGAGACCTGTATGACCAGTATCTTCTGAACGAGCATGATACATGAAATAAAAGTCCATTCAAAGTGCAAAATAGACTAATGGATTTTCATGCAATAAATTACAAAAAAAATTGTTATGACTTCATGTTCCACGTTGCAACTAATCTTAATATTAAGTTATTTGTTTTGGTGTATTATCAGAGAAGGAAAGCTATTACAGTATTCTTCCATTTTCCAAAGACGTGACCATATATCTGTGTGAGGCCAGGTTTTATTCATTTATTTTCACTGAAGATAATATCTTGCAACAGATTGAATACAAAAGCATATATGAAGATTCATCTATCTTTTGTTAAGCTAGATATTTAAAAGAGTAACAGGCCAGGTTTGGTGGCTCATGCCTGTAATCCCAGCACTTTGGGAGGCTGAGGCGGGCAGATCACTTTAAGCAGGAGTTTGAGACCATCCTGGGCAATATGGTGAAAACCCGTCTCTACTGAAAATACAGAAACTAGCTGGGTATGGTGGCATCCACCTGTAATCCCAGCTACTTGGGAAGCTGAGGCATGAGAATTGCCTGAACCTGGGAGGTGGAGGTTTTTCCATGAGCTGAGATCACGCCTCTGCACTCCAGCTTGGGAGACAGAGTGAGACTTCATCTCAAAAAATAGAAAAAATTAAAAATAAAAATAAAGAGTAACAAAAATGTAAAACATTGTCTCTCTTTGCACAATTATGTTTTGGAAAAGTTATTTTTCTTAAAAAAAAAATAGGCTTATATTAGTCTAGAATGATTTACTATTTTTAAATGACTAATAGAATTTAAGAATTTCTTAATTTTAATTTTGAATACACTAAATGTTGATAAATACAACCCACCTGATTGAAAGTCTTTAGGGCCCAAATGTAAAGGGATCCTGAGACCAGGAAGTTTGAGAACCACTGTTTTAGATGCTTTGGTCTCCCTCGGGGAAAACATTGGAATTAGAGTATTATCACTTACCCAGACTTTGTTTCAGAGGTACAACGGTTTGTAGAAGCACTTGGAGACTTTGGAGCACACAGTTAATGCATTTATACCGAGCAAGCACCAGTTTACGAATCTCACTTAGGCAGTGCACTTCACAGTTGCCACCTGGGAAGTTATAAAAATAAATATTTTCTAAAATGTATCGCACACGTTATAAAAACACAGCCAGATATTTCTGTGATTCAAATACATCAAAATACTGTATCAGATAAGAGTGTTCTCTGTAGGGGAAATAATTAGATTGAACATTCATTTTAAAAATTCATTTGATTGCCAGACATGGTGGCTCACTCCTGTGATCCCAGCACTTTGGGAGGCCAAGGCAGGCAGATCACCTGAGGTCAGGAGTTCAAGACCACCCTGACCAACATGGAGAAACCCTGTCTATACTAAAAAGACAAAAATTAGCCATGTATGGTGGTGCATGCCTGTAATCCCAGCTACTTGGGAGGCCGAGGCAGGAGAAATGCTTGAACCTGGGAGGCGGAGGTTGCGGTGAGCCGGGATTGTGCCATTACTCTCCAGCCTGGGCAACAAGAGCGAAACTCCGTCTCAAAAAATCCAAAAAACATAAAATTCACTTGATATAAATAAAATTCATCTCAGGATTAAACTGAAGAAAAGCTAAAACTGCGAACCATGTTTTTAAGTATATAGTTGACCTCTGACAAACTGAACACAGGTTAATTTTGTCACCTGCTTTTTCAAGGGTTCTGGTAAGTGGTAGAAGTTAAGGGGCACCTGTATCTTCAGGCCCAAGAGGTATTATAAATACAGAGTTCTCATTTAGAAAATAATTTTTCTGTTTCATCTTCGGGATTCTATATACCCTAATTGCAATGTGATTTGTTAATTTCAATTTCCATATCCAGATGCCTTAATTTTAATTTAAATTAAGAAAAGCAATGGGTCAGTGAGGAATAGTGTAGCCATATATACATATATGCACATGTATGCTAGCATGTGTGTCTGTGTTTAAAGATCTTTTAAAACAATATTATTTTTTGGCAAGTCAGTCTTTTCCTGCAGCAAGTCAGCCAGGGTTCATTTTGAAAATTTTGAACTTGGTATCTGAATGTTAAGTGGCATTCTTCCTCACAGAATAAAGCTTGTGACTAGATTTTTAAAAACTTAATGGAACTTAAAAAAATTTAGAAAAAAACTTAATGACCTATCAACATTTAACAATCAAGTTTCCACTAAAATTCATTTTGGATATAGGCAATAGCTAATAATAACTCATTTCAGGCTGAGGTGGGAGAATTGCTTCAGGCCAGGAGTTGGTACAAGAAAAAAAAATTAGCCAGATGTGGTGGCGCACACCTTTAGTCTTAGCAACTTGAGATGCTGAGGTGGGGGGACGGGGGTTGCTGGAGCCCAGGAGTTTGAGGCTGCAATGAGCTGTGATCATGCCTGGGTGACAGAGTGAGACTCTCTCAAAATAAATAAATAACAATATAAAGAAAGTTATTGTAAAAAAGAAAAGCACTCTAGTAAATGGAAATGTATTTCCAGATGGAAGACAGGATGTTATAAATTTCCTATTTCTTATCAGATTAGGATTAATGTCATTCTGTGAAAATGCCAATGAATGGGGGATAGAGAAATCTTGACAAAATGGTCTAGGATTTTTCTGGAAGAATTAACAGGCAGTGCCTTGCATAATCAAATATTTGTGAGTCAGAAAGCATGCAGTTATTAAGTCGTAAAGCTAGAATTTGACCCTGGGTTGATCTAGCTTCCCAATATCATGTTGCTTGCACAGAGAGAAATTTGCAAACACTCCCAGAATGCTTATTCTTTCTGCGCTGATTGTTTTTACCTGAACCTTTCTGTCTCATTTCAGGGAAGTATGGCCACGGCTGCATTACCGGAGAGTGGGTCTTCCCTTGCCTTACGAGCTCTGGGCTGGGGCTCACTGTATGCTTGGTGTGGGGTTGGTGTAATTAGCTTCGCAGTCTGGAAAGCTTTAGGAGTTCACAGTGTGAGTAACTACAGTCTTGTCACTGGTATCTAGATGTTTATTCTGCTTTCTGTGTTCTAAATTTTCCTGGTTTTCAAAGTTGCATGTAGTTTGGCCACTGTCTTGGGAAATGATGACACAGTATGTGACTAAATTTCTTATTACCAATAAATCAGCCAGCTAAATTTTTGAAGGTGGTAAAACTTCAAATATAATTAATGACTAATTTATAACTGATGTCCTATATAAATTGACATTAGGGCGGGTGCAGTGGGTTATGCCTATAATCCCAGCACTTTAGGAGCCTGTGGCAGGCAAATCAGTTGAGCTCCGGAGTCCAAGACCAGCCTGAGCAACGTGATGAAACCCTGTCTCTACAAAAAAAGTAGCTGGGTGTGGTGGAATACACATGTAGTCCCAGCTACTCAGGAGTCTGAGGCAAGAGGATCACCTGAGCCTCGTAGGCTGAGACTGCAGTGAGCCAAGATCACTGCACTTCAGCCTTGGCGATGGAATGAGACCCTGTCTCAAATAAATAAATAAATTGACATTAGCTGTTTGTTTAATAGAATTATTAATTTGGAACAACTTTCTATGCTGTTTGGCATCATATAATATAAAATCTTTGTAAAAGAGTTAAAACATTTTTAAAATAATTATTTAAATTATTAATGTGTTATTTACACATTTTTGGAAAAAAATCCTAAAAGCTTGTGTGTGTGTGTGTTGTGTGTCTATGTTGTGTATATGTGTAAAATTTGTGCCTCAAGCTACAGAGCATTACATAAATAATGGCTGCCTTCTTTTTTTTAAACAACTGGTTGCAAGTTCTGTGGACTGGGCCCTTCGTGACCGGTGAGAATTGGCAGTAGTTTGAGATAGGTGGCGGTGGTAAAGTTGATGAAAAGAAATTCTGGATGTATTTTGAAGGTCAAGTCAGCAAAGATTTGTTGTCGATTGGATGTGAAGTGTGAGAAAGAGTGAAGTTAGGATGTCATCAAGACTTTTGGCCTGAGCAACTGGAGGATGGGTGGGAGGAGCAGGCATTGGGGGATAACATCAGGGGCTCGATCTGCCACTTGTGAGGCTGACACATCTGTTTGATAGTGAGATGGAGAGCAGTAAGCAGTTAGATATAGAAGCTGAGAGTTAGGGGAGAAGTACAAGGTAAGATTTAAATTTGAGACTCATTGGTATATGCGCAGCATTTAAAGCCATGAGGCTAGATTAACTCACCAAGGTAGTGAAGGCTAAAAGAAAGAAGAGGTCTGAGGAAGGAACTCTTGGTTAGAGGTTGGGGAATGAAGGGAAAGTACCCTTGAAAAGGGAAATCTCCTTGGCTTGGTGACATAGACACCAGATAAAACATTTCAAGAAGTGACTGTGCTGTATGCTGATAATAAGTTCTGTAAGAGGAGAACTGAGAATTCACTGGATCTGGCAGTGTGACAGCCACTGGTGAAATGGTGGAGTAAAGCCTGAGAGATTCAAAAGAGAATAGAGGAGAATCAGAGGCACTGTGTCTATGTGAGTCTTGAGTTCTACCACAGAGTGAAGGAAGGAAGTGGGGTCATAGCTGGAAAAAAGAAAGGGATCAAGAGATAGTTTTTTACTTGTTTTATTTTAAATTGGGGGAATTAGCAGCATGTATATGCTGATGGGAATGATTCAGCAGGGAGGAAAAAACTGGGGCAAGTTGGCGGGGTTGCAGGAACAACCTCATAGGCATTATTGAGCTTTTCATATTTTGTTTAATCGTAAACAAACAAACATTACTGTGTTTGTCACTCAGAATACACGGATAGACAGATGAAGGTGCTTTTCTCCTAGTCTAAGCTCTGTTTTTAAAATTTATTTTTTGGAAATAGAGAACTTCCTCTGTTGCCCGGGATGGAGTACAGTGGCACAGTCTCAGCTCACTGCAGCCTCCTGGGCTCAAGCCGCCCTCCCACTTCAGCCTCCCAAGTAGCTGGGACCACAGGTGCATGCCACTATGTCTGGCCAATTTTTTAAATTTTTTCCTGGACTCAAGCAGTCTTCTGCCTCAGCCTCCCAAAGTGCTACGATTAAAGGTGTGCGCCACCGCACCTGGCCCTAACCTTTATTTTTGAGTTAACTTTGCTGGCTAGTCATTGGAATGCTGAATTAGAGATTTCTTGAAAAGACAGAAAATCTGTGACTGAAAATTTTTTCATGATTTTTGCTGTTAACCTCAATTTTGCTTTTGACCAATATAAAATTTCTTCGTCCATTTCAGTCATTGTACAGACATTTTAGACATAGCAGATTATTTAATCTTCATAATAACTATATAGCAGATTTTAATATCCCCCATTTTATAAATGAGGAAAGTGGGACTCAAAGAAGTTAAATCACTTGCCCAAGATCACATAGCTTGTGATTGGCAGTGTCAAGATGTAAACCCAGGTCTGAATCTTCAGATTATTAAGTAGTACTTAGTAATAAAGTTATTGAGCTTCTACTTTCTATAAAAATGACAATTTGCTAGCACTTTGCATGAACTGTGTGGAATTGATACATAATATTTTCAGTGTTTAGTAGTGTGGCTTATAAACTTCGTAGTAAAATTTTAAGGTATTTGAAAATACAAATAGTGTGACTTAGAAGAGTCAATCTCAGTTTTGATAAACCAATAAAATTAGGTTATCTAAATTATGGACTTGATAATTTGCTGTTTATGGACTAGACTGTGCTAGAATAATCCAATTGTTTATTCATAATTATTATGGAATTTCATTTCACATAGAACACATATATTAAATATAAACATACATTTGCATTTCAAATGATTGCCGGGTGGTATATCATTTAATCAGAGGTTCCAAAGAAGGAGAGGTATTAGAAGCTATCTTGTTAGCAAACAAAGCAGGGACATTTGCCTAGCATTGAAGATGGGTAGAATGTGAACTTCTTTGTTTTATGGCACTAATACAAGGATTGCAGCCTAAATAAGATATTTTGGTGAGAAAAAAATATTTTCTGGTTTTTCACTACTGAATATAAGAATATGTGGAATCCTTTTATATTGCATGTTTATGTCTAACTAAAAAGAGAGACTGCACGTACACTGTCTCCCTACATATAGATAATTAGGCAAATCAGTTTGATCTCCATGTCTGAGAAGGCTTACAGAATAATGAACCCACTGATAACTTTTCAAGGACACATCTTTTGAAGGCAGTAGTGTTTATTAATTTCCTGGTTTGTTCATTCTAACATCATTTGTGGGCCGCCCCTGAGCCATGCACTGTGCGAAGACAGGGCTACCCAGTAGAGTGGTAAAAGCCTTACCTGTTGACTTTCTAAGCAAATTCTTATGGATAACCCTGTGCTGAGGCTTGCAGACAGCAATGTGGTATATTTAACTCTGCGTTTAGAGAGTATTGATGACAATTATGAGGTTACCCTGAGTCCAGTAAGAACTTCTGTCACTGTGTACTATCTCATCTTTTTATGACTAAAAAAGCAGTCTCGGTCAGAAAACATTGAACAGAAATGGTCCAAGTCTACACACTCAATCAATAATTGATGACGTTCCAGATAAATGCAGGTAAATCAAAATCAACTCCAGTATCAAATTTTAAGTAGCTAGCTTGAACTGGATTAAATCTCTGATAGAAACCCAGTTCCAATACAAAAGGGTGCCATCTAATGGCTAAGCTAGAGCAGCTTGATGGAAGTGCTGGTAGTTCCTATTTTAATTCACAGCTACATCTGCTGGCCTAAAAGGGAACATGTTTAAAATGCTTAAAGTGAAACTTAGTTCCTTAAAAGTATTTTGGTTTTACTGTTTGTTTATTCATAATTATTCTGGAATTTCATTTCACATAGAACACATGCAGTAACATTAAATATAAACACACGGGTATTTTGCACGATGACATGTCATTTAATCAGAGGTTCCAAAGAAAGAGAGGTAGGGGAAGATGTCTTGTTAGCAGACCAAAGCAGATAAGTTTGCCCACCATTGGCAATGAGGAGAAATCAGTGCCAGTTCAATATCTACCCTGCTCCCCTGCCCAGCCTGGCCAGCAAGCACGTCGTGACCATTCAGTTTGTGTTCATTGATTACTTTCAATTATGGCATTTTATCGTTTGATTATGATTAAGATAGCACTAATCTTATTGCAATAACTTAATTGTGGAAAAAAAGATGAACATTTCCTTTGGGTTTATAGTCTCCTAAATCAGCTGTGTACATACATGACCTTGGAATGCACGCTGGGGCACTCTGATGAGGCCAGGTGAGTGCACATGGGGCACTATGGTGAGGCCAGGTGAATGCACATGGAACACTATGATGAGGCCAGGTGAGTGCAGCTGGTGCACTCTGATGAGGCCAGGTGAGTGCACGCTGGGGCACTATGATGAGGCCAGGTGAGTGTGGCTGGGGCACTCTGATGAGGCCAGGTGAGTGCACGTTGGGGCACTATGATGAGGCCAGGTGAGTGCAGCTGGGGCACTCTGATGAGGCCAGGTGAGTGCACACTGGGGCACTCTGATGAGGCCAGGTGAGTGCAGCTGGGGCACTCTGATGAGGCCAGGTGAGTGCACGCTGGGGCACTATGATAAGACCAGGTGAGTGCAGCTGGGGCACTCTGATGAGGCCAGGTGAGTGCACGCTGGGGCACT